GATCTTGACCCGTGCCACAAAGGCCCGTGCCTATCCGAAACCAACCCGTACCGATCCGAACCATTTTTCTTATAGGGCTGGAACACCTGAAAAAAATTGGCCGGATGATTTTTAGCCGATTCGATTAAGTTTGTGATTTCGGCATGCAGTCAGACTAGTGATGGTACCCGATCAAAAAATGCTACCCGGTTATCCGATGGGTAAACCCGCGGGTTACCCGGGTGATCTACGGATATATCCAGATATAAAATATACCGATGTACCCGGGTAAAGTTAATTAAATATACTCTTACTTTAGATCGCTTTTCTTTTCAAATCGAACTTTTAATTTAGTAAAAACCCTTTTCGGATCTAAATCCTATCACTTTCAAATAAAATATAGATACATAGTATTGTGAAATAGATCTACCTGAGTCACAAGTTGAAGCTATAATAACCAAATATGAAAATAAGCAATGTTCGATCGTCTACCCTATAAAAAAAGTCGATCCGTGTTTTATATTCCATGTTTTTTCTGTAAATGTTGCATATTCACTGAATTTATAACCTTAAATCATGGAGCTTGTCTAAATTTGTCGATCATGTTGCAGATTCACGGAGTTTTCACGAAAAATGTGAAAAGATAATGGAAACATTCGGATAAAATTTCTTACAGAGCTAAAAGTGATATTAAAATTAGGTTGGTATTTTAAACTTTAATAGATACCAATTCAGAATTTATTTAATACCTATGTAGCAACGAAGATCTAATAAGCATATTATATCTATTGAAAAGTTTTCAACTTATCATTAGTAATGTTAACAATAATAGCAACGATATGAAAATCAGAATCTCTATCAACAGACAAGTTAGCTTCTTAACTATTTCGTCAAATTTCATACAGTCAATGAATATTCAGAAAGAAAATATCAATCAATTTGAAATGAAGGGCACAAAGAATGATCAATTGCAAAAAGAGTACATAAATTATCGAAGAACATCACAGTCCAGGTTCTATCCGGGTAGCTGAGTTCACAACCCGGATATCCGACCATCTGCGGATAACCCGGGTGATACCCTACCGGGTACCATCACTATGCAAGGTATACTTGCTTTTAGAACATGAGTCAACATGGTGTTTTTTTGTTAATGCCTTTCTACTTCAATTCAAAATATCAGTATTAATTATGCTGAATTCTAATTGGTCAATTTAAATACTGCGCTTCATAAAATTTAAATTCTTCTTCCCAGACTCATTGTTTAATTTGATTTTTTAGATCAAATATTTTCAAATATTTGATTCAAATTCAAAATTTGATTTGAGTTTCAGAGTACTATAAGGAAGTAATCAAGAAAGAAATGAAAAGATTCAAAGCTCTCAAACAAGTGTCACAAGTTCTGTCACAAGTACCTGCAAACAACTAGTGACTTCTAGTGACAACTTGTGACAAAAATTTCAGCATACCTAATGCGATATATCTAGTCTCCGCAAATCGTATATGCCAACATAACTTGATTCTATACGCGTTCTGGCAGACTATATACGCATGCAACCAAGCTATATTACGAATCGACAGGGGATCGTTACTCGAATGTAGTTATATTGCAATAGTTTATCAAGTTGAAGATTCATTTTTTTTTTTAGTTGTAATAAAATCGAGTATGATTAGCTTGTGATTATAAACTGCGAGCATTTACGAAGGAACCATGCATTTTTTGAATGTCATGGATCATATGCTATGAGTTAATAACCATGTGGTTTGTTAATCATGGATTTCGATATAAAAAACCACTTGCACAAAAAATGAAAAGCAAAGGCAAACACTTAACATTACTAACTTCAATTCCTATAAGAAATCGTCCTGAACAATGAATTTCAAACAAATTTTCATCTCATTGGAGCTCCCCCTTCTTTTCCTGGTTTGTGTATATTCAATGCTTGCTAAGGCTAGATTATTCATTTAAGCAAAAAAATCTAATCATTAAATAGGTTTTTGTTTTTCTTCAAACGGAGGGTTTTCCTTTTGATACTGAGCTTGATGGCTTCACCGAAAAAGTTACTGTTCGTACCCTTCATAATCATGGTTGCCCTTGTAAGGACTGTTATTGGGGCTGAGTGTTGTGCTAGGAAGAAGTGCAGAGACGCATGCAAATGTTGATAAAAAAATATTTAGACTACAATATCAGATATGTCTAAATGGTCTAAAAACTGGTCTACTAACAACTCTGGTTATGCAGTTAATTGTGCTTATCCTTTATTTTCTTCTTTATTAGTATTATTTTTATTATTATTTTTATTTTCTATATTTATTATTTTATTTATAATTGTCTCTTATTTAATAATACATTTAATGATTTTTTATCCCTTAAACCGTTTAGCGGGCAAATTTGCCTACTAAAATAATTTTTGTAAGTTTTTTTAAAATTTCTCAAAATTTATTTAAGCTTTACCACTATTTATTAAGTAAAAATTAAAGATATTTGTTTTAGTAATAATGTATTTAAATTTATTTGTTTATTTTTAAGTTTAACAAAGATATTACATTTTTAATAAACCAAATTTTTTAATTTTATTAAAATTATAAAAGTTCTTAAAATTTTTGATGATTTTAATACTCACCAGAGGTGAAATTCACCAGTTATATCTCAAAAATGTACTAAATAAACGGGATCAGGTATTCTAAATAAAAATGTTCAGAACTTTTTAAAACCTTTTAAGAACTAAAATTAGAACCTTACATCAAATCTACATTATCTTATATAAAACTTCTCTTTTATCTTAAAACTGCATCTTAATCTTAAAAATTCCTAGACTGGTAATTTTTATTTTCTAATTAAATTGAACTTATTTCTAAAATTTTATATATTTTTAGAAAAAAATTTTTAGTTACTACTAAGAAAAATCTAAATTTTGCTTAATAATTTATAAAAATATATAATAATAAAATTAATTAATGTTATTATATGGGTTAGAGTCTCGTAGCCTAGTGGTCTGGGCGCCTAACCCTCCACAGATGAGGTCAACGGTTCGATTACAGCTGGTAGTAATTAATTAATTTAATTAATTATCTCTATAACCTTCAGGAGCTTTCGAATGTGAAACTCTGTGGTGGTAAGACCATATAATGTGCTGATAAAGAATTCTTAAAAGGAGCCCCAAGCCATGGAGAAGACTGGGCACTGTGTGTGATATGGGTTACAGAAGGTATTATTGCAGAAGGCTGTGCATGTGAATTCATGATTGGCAAGGTAGCACCAACAACCCTAAGGCAGCATTGGGATCTTGATTAGAAGGACAGCTAAATGCGGTATATCCAGAAGTGGTGAAAAAAGCGGTGAACATAGTAAGTGCTGTGGTAAGAGAATGGCTTTACCAAATATAGAACACCTCTGGTACAAGGAAACAAGAAAAACTGGCTAAAAGAAACCCCAAAAGTATGGAAGCAGATGATTCGGTAGTACAAAAATAAAAACAGGCTAGGGAGTAATAGTCGTACAACCTATATAGGAGTATATAACAAAACATGGCAGAGGTTTAGGTCTCAGGTTATTAGATTGTAACAGTAATTAAATAAGGTACTTAACTTCCGTCCAAAGGATCCAGACCTCTGTATTATCATACCAATAGAGAGTACTATAGAAGGATTGATAGCCTAATTTGGTGGTGTATGATGTTAACACTTGAGAATTGTGAAATAACATTCTGGTTGCGGCAGCAGGTCCCATACCTGGCTTGAGATATGAACTAGGCCCTTAGAGTAATATCCCAAGAACACCAAACTGGAAGCATCAAGGGTGCTCATTTGAGAGACACCAATTTGGAAAGGTACAAGAAATGAATTAGGAGTAATGTAATAATTACTGAGGAGTAGAAATTGGCTGGTAGATGTTGTACAGCAGTATATAAACAGGATATATATGATAATATAGGTTTGGAAACTATCCAGTGATTTAGTAGTTGGTTTGTTTAAAAGGAGTGGTTACTAAGGAGATAAAATCTCATATAGCAGGTCATATATAGATACTAAGTTAGTAACTGGGTGAGCCTTATTTGTAATAAATTAGATAGTTGTAAATGTATGTATATATATTTGTAACCACAATATCTTAGAGTACTAATAAACAATAAAGGCAAGATTGCCGAATTAAAAAAAAATTAATGTTATTATAAATAATATATAAATTAAATTTAGAGTACATTATATAAAATAAAAAAACTTTAACCCTAACTCTAACAGGGTCTCTAACTCTAACCATAAAGTTAGTTTGGGCTGGCTAACTTTAAAAAAAAATCATAAATTTGGTTAAAATATTCACTATAATTCACTAATTTTAAATTTTTTACAACTTTTATTAAAATAACAAGAGTTATTTTAAATTTTTATTAAGTAAAATAAAAGAAAGAAAACTTATTTAAAATTAAAATTTTTTTAAAAAATTATTGAATTTTTTTTATAAGTAACTTTAAATTTTTTAAATATTAAATAAGAATATTATTATAATGCTATAGCACTATAATACTATCTAATATATAAATACAAAATTGGTATAATATGCAAATCAAATAATCTTAGGCTATACAAACTTAATAAATTAGTTCTCATAACATAAAATTTTTAAAAGTGACCTGGCAACCTAGCTTTTAATTTTATTTTCAAAAATTTTATATAAAAATACATATAAAATTTTTTTAGATTTTTTTTAAAAAACTCATCTGGATAGTAAGTATACTTGAAATTTTTTTTTAGAGTTTTGAAAATTTTGACCCGGCCGGGTTATAAGAACCGATTTATTAAGTTTGTATAGCCTTATATATATATATATATATTTAAACATGAACTCATTGGTTGAAGAATTTTATTTTATTTTTTTTTTTTTTAACTATGACAGTTTTGCTGAAGCTCAAATACAAGCCACTTTATTTAAAAAATTAGTAAGTTAAACTATTTCTAAACTAAACAAGTTTTAGCAAGGAAATTGCAGGCCCAACATGCTTTTGCTATATGAGAACTCTTCTATTAAGGATGTTTGACATGCAAGTCAAGAGTGTTATTATACAAGATAACTAGCAGAGAGTGCTCTTGTATAAAAAATCTTAGTAGCGAGAGAGAAAACTAGTGATAACTGGTGTCGTCAATAAAGCTTGTATGTCATTACTTCAAAAAGAATACAAAGAAACAACAAATTATACATTACTTTTAAGCTACACTTCTTTTTTTGGTTTAAGTGACTTCTCTATTACTTATCTACACCTTTTTGTCAGTCTTTCAAAAATTTTAAAAAAAGTAAAGATTTGGCTTATCTCTCCAAAAGATCAGTATTGTTTATATTTTAAATTTAGACAAACTCAGTAGAATGCAACTATATATCTTTGTTTACTTGTGGATATAATGCTATGCTATATGACTTGGATTAGGATTTTTGTTTAAAGAGTTTTTTGAAATTGGTTAGTAGCTAGACAGTATATATATTTAGGCATTGTTTTACATTAGAGATATACAATTGTTGCATTTGTTATAAAATTTTTACTTTGCTTGGTATGGGTTATAATAGTGCATCTTTCTTTTTATTTTAATTTTCAGGTTGCTTACTACTTCTTAATAGAGATAGTTTCCCTCTTTGTAGCCCTCAGGCTTTTTTCTTTGTTTTTCTTTTTTTGCACTTTCTTGTTTCTTCTTTTGTTTTTCTTTAAAGTTTCTCTTTTATTTAATTTGTTTTTTGAAGATATAAATTTCTTTTTTTTTATTAATAGATAGTTTTGTATTAGTGTAAATTCACCAATTCTTTTGCTCTTAGTAAAAAAAAAGAATTGAAGGGATTAGCTTTCAATAGCTGACAAAGTCTATCTAACTTGTATACAAGCTAGTGCAATGAGTTGCTGATAAGCATGTTTTATGGAGCTGACAATTATCAGGTGATTTTCTAGAGGGGGGGTCAAAAAAATTGAAATTTTATATATAAGCCCTGATAATTTATATATTAAAAACTAGGGGGGGTAAGCCTTTGATAAAAAAAAATTAGGTAATAAATGACACTGCCCTTATTGTAGCCATAATAAACAAATCACCAGTAGGCCACAACTCTCCAACAAATTTTTTGTTTTCTGTTAGTAAGAAATTTGGTTCAAATAATTGTCAAAAAAAGTTAAATTTGTTTGAAGAATTTTATTAATCATTATATAAATTATGTAATACAATATTTTTTAATATTAATTTTAATGATATTAGAAATAATTTATCACTAAGTTATACTTTATTTAGAAATTTACAACTACAAATATTTAACTAGAATTTTATACTACAGAACCTACATTCCTCATATTATTTATACT